TTGGCTAATTGTTACACAAGACAACAATTCGTTATGACATCATAAATTGGCCAAAAACTGATCAGCTCATTTTCAGACAGGTTTTTATAGAAATGGATCAAAAAGAGAAAGAATCTTTGTCTCTTTCCACAGAGGGGACACATGTTAATGTAGAAGAGACATGAAGAAGAGGGGACACATGTTAATGTAGAAGAGACATTAAGAAGAGGGGACCCATGTTAATGTAGAAGAGACATTAAGAAGAGGGGACCCATGTTAATGTAGAAGAGACATGAAGAAGAGGGGACACATGTTGATGTAGAAGAGACATGAAGAAGAGGGGACACATGTTGATGTAGAAGAGACATGAAGAAGAGGGGACACATGTTGATGTAGAAGAGACATGAAGAAGAGGGGACACATGTTGATGTAGAAGAGACATGAAGAAGAGGGGACACATGTTGATGTAGAAGAGACATGAAGAAGAGGGGACACATGTTGATGTAGAAGAGACATGAAAAAGTGTATTTTACATAATAGGTGACCTTTAAAAACAATCAAATAAAAAGGTTTCAGTTGCAAGTGGAGGGTTATACCTTTCCTCAGCCCCTGATTGGCTGAGGCGCTGTCGTTAATGCTGGAAACAATGAGCCCTCCCTCCTCCGACTGCTCCAGAGTCAGGGCGTCGGAGAGACTCCTTCCCCTGCGGTGTGAAGGCTGCAAACAAAGACATTACATAAAGTGTTTAAAACAAAAACGCCTCCACACGTTGAGCTATAAACTCCTAAACTGAAACTAAATGTAGCTGTTATATAACGTTTTAATCACAGAACTGAAAGAAGATGAAGGTGTTTCTTACCATGATTGTTGTGTCTCTGTTACAGCTGCATTAAAATCCCTTCCGATTAAACCTATGGAAGAAAACTAAATGTTCAGTCAACGACATCAAGTATTTTTTTAAACTTGAGACATACAGTGCAGCTTGGGATTGATCTTATACTTTTAACACGTTAACGTTTCATAATAACTATAGCTGATTGAACTCGGGAGACATTTAAGATCATGTGATGGCAGTGGTGGAATGTGACTTAGTGTATTTACTCAATTACTGTTATTACGTATAATTTTCACATACTTTTACTTTACTGGGAATTCCCAATGAATGCCACTTTCTACTTTTACTTTACTACTTTTTGGAGGCAAATGTACTTTTTACTACACTTGACAGCTTTAGTTACTTTGCAGACTTTGATTATAATTGCAAAAATGTAAAGTTAGTTTTACATTCTGACTTATAACAATAGATAAGGCTAGAAAGCATTTTAGTTTTTATAATGACAAATAGTTCAACAAAATAAAAAATACATTTTTGGGCGAAATTTGACATTTTGATTAATCAATACTGTTAAAAGAAATAGCTTTAAGTGTATTTGATGCTGATACTTTTAACTTTAACTAAAGAAAGAAGGAACAGTGTATTTGTACACAGTACTTACTCAACCAGTACTACAGTGGTACTTCTTAAATTAGTTCAAACCAAGAGGTAAAGGAAGACCATGTATGACGTTTCTGTACATGTTTGTGTTGGTAGAAAATAACAACACCTGTATTACCGCAGGGTTTCTAAAGGGTCGGGAATGTTTTTGATCAATCCATCACACAAGAGGCTGGGGAAAATTGCTTTTGCTCTAAATTCCAACTAAGAAGCTGTGTTTTCCAATAGCACATGAATGCACCACTCTGGGAAACTTCAGTCTGTTTTAACCGCATTTTCAAGCACACCTTTAAAAGTACAAGATCATGAAGGAAATATTTGGGTGGGGCGTATTTACTTAGCAAACCAAACAATTTCATATCTGGGAAACACTTGTGTTGTTTTTTATTACATTTGCAATAAACAACACGTTTTTTTTTAGATATTGTTCAGAAACAACGTCTTAACACCAGAAACAAAAGAGATTATTAAAAATTCATATCTGCACACATTTTCTATTTAAAAGCATGGTTTAAAATGGACATTTAGAGTCATTCAAGCTGTTCATGTTGCCATTTTATATCTTCTTTCATTATACCAAGTGCTTCTAAATCCAAGATCAATACTATGTACTATGAAACTCTCCTTGCATCGCATAACTTGAGTTGAACCTAAATTAAAAAGCCGCATCCAGTACAGTAGGAGTATGTCTGACTGTATGTATGTATGTATGTATGTCTGACTGTATGTATGTATGTATGTATGTATGTATGTATGTATTTCTGACTGTATGTATGTATGTATGTATGTATGTATGTATGTATGTATGTATGTATGTATGTATGTCTGACTGTATGTATGTATGTATGTATGTATGTATGTATGTATGTCTGACTGTATGTATGTATGTATGTATGTATGTATGTATGTATGTATGTATGTCTGTCTGTCTGTCTGTCTGTCTGTCTGTCTGTCTGTCTGTCTGTCTGTCTGTCTGTCTGTCTGTCTGTCTGTCTGTCTGTCTGTCTGACTGACTGTATGTATGTATGTCTGACTGTATGTATGTATGTATGTATGTATGTATGTATGTATGTATGTATGTATGTATGTCTGACTGTATGTATATCTGACTGTATGTATGTATGTATGTATGTATGTATGTATGTCTGACTGTATTTTTGTCTGACTGTATGTATGTATGTATGACTGTATGTATGTCTGACTGTATGTATGTCTGACTGTATGTATGTCTGACTGTATGTATGTATGTCTGACTCTATGTATGTACAGTATAGTGATACCCCCATGTATCTCAGCAGGTGCATCTCTCAGGTATTTGAGATAAGGCTGTGAGGAAAACCAGGAACAGGTTAATCGGGAGAGCTGCGTACAAGAGGTCTGTTGTTGGGTGTTTCCTTTTTAAAAGCACACATTCAGAAGGGACCACACCCACAACTTTAAGTAAAAAAAAAACTCTGTCAGACTTCCACTAAATCAAGAAACATTATGTTCTATTTGGATATCGGAAAATTATGTGAAATCATGTGTGAATAAATACAAATAAAGCTTTATTCCTAACCAAACCCTAACTGCAGTTTTAATTCCAAACATCAAAATAAGAGTGTATTAAATATAACATCCCAATGTAAAATATATTTAATACGTTTTTAAAACAAATGCAGAATTGTTTCACCATTGACACAGATTGTTAGGGTTTATAGCAACACAGATTATATGTTATTAGGAAATAAGTAAATCAATAAATACACATATTTTACGATACAAACATGCTTTTCGCAGGATTTACTCAAAACCAATGTGATTATTTCCAAACAATTTAGAATGACATGGCAGCCAATCATTTTCCATCCCTTTTCAATCAAATTATACTCAAATATAGAGCATGATTTCCATAAATATATATTGTATCAGGTGTTTACATTTATTCCAACAAGACAACTGTGAACCACAACGTTTGCACACCCATTTTGTAATGATACAATGATGTAAAAAGACACAACAATGCCAGGATTTAAATCAATCAAAACACTAAATATACGCTAGTAAAACTATCCTTCATAACGAAAAATAGTGTGGTTTTAATGTTCAGAACCCAGTCGTTTACATTTTGTTATTTCTGTACGAGTTGATAAAAACGACCACGTCTTCAAGAACAAAATCAAACACTAACATCAATCCGATTATTCACATTTAGATGATATTACACACTTGGCCCTAAATGACTTCTGAGATAAAGGAGGCAGCTGATTTATACGTATAAGTTACGTATTACACATTTCACAATAAACCAAAGTGCAGAAATACTCCTTTAGTTTCATTAGCAACCCAAACTAGTGTTCAGGGGCAGAGCAACTAAGTGGACATTTTTAAATGACAAAAAACCTCTTATTATTATCATTATTATATATATTTATTTTATTTGTATTGTATTGTTTTAATTATTTTATGCATTTATTCCTTTTTTCCTAAGTCTTTTCTGGTTTAACTAAGTGGGTTATCTGTTTATATATACTTTGTACATTCTTGCCTATTTTACCTCCTTGTATTCCTTGAAAGCTTATATATGAGTATGTAAATCGCTTTGGATAAAAGCGTCTAACAAGTAATGTAATACGTAATATATCACGAACACATGTCTGCTAAAAAGTTTAAACGTTAGACTTAAATTGTATTTTTTAAAGCACTTTAAAAAGTGCTACACAAGTAAAGCTCTATTATTATGATTACTTTTAATTGAAACAAGTCTTTTTTTGGGTTGTCCTTAGTAAAAGGGAGCGTTAATATAGGCTAAAGAAAGTATAAAAAGCTGAAAATAAACTGTGTGCAAGAAAATAAAACCATTCATAGAACCAAAAAGTCTGCTAGGAGCACCAAAAAATATACGTTTGCCCACAATTTCTCTAAGAAGTCAAGATGAGCCGTGACAGAAACTGCCTGTCAGATGTCGCCTGAAACCAAACGCTGTCACCCAAAGCTCTCCACCTTAAGTACAACCACGCAGGAAGATGTATAAATGAAACTGACCTCCGGGTCCATCAGGCAGCCGTTTGGTCCTCCGTGTTGTTGAAGTTGTTTGAAGGAGTTTCTGCACTATGAGTCCATGCTGTTTGCTCCGCCGGCTGAGAGTGAGCGGAGGAGCTGCAGGCGGGAGCACTGCACCTTCACCCGGGGCAAAAAAACCTGTTCCAGTCGCTGTCAAAACACACACACACACACACACACACACACACACACACACACGTTCCCATCACACACACCCTCGTGCAAACACACCCGGACGACAACAACACGCCCTGCCTCTCGTACTGTATGCACAAAACACAGAGACACACCACAGCAGACAAAAGTACAACCTGTATCTCTGACCCACTTATACGTCAACACATCTGTTCACACACACACACACACACACACACACACACACACACACACACACACACACACACACACACACACACACACACACACACACACACACACACGTATTTATTGCCTCTACTGGGACATGTCTCCATGCTTTAATGTTCAAAAAGCTCTTTATTGTTCTCATACTGACTGTGCTGCAGCACCTCTTTTCACCCTCTGTCTGAAACCAGAGCTCAGTCTGCTCTGATTGGTTAGCTGGCCGGCTGTGTTGTGATTGGTCAACCGCTTAGAGATGTCCCGCCCCTTAGCCTATCAAGTACAATGTGTTGGAGCGCTAGCCAATAGAAGAGCGAGGGTCTCGTAGTGATTTTACTATGTTCAGGAAGTTAACAAAGGAGTCAAATGGAGGCGTTTTAGGAAAATTAAATAGATCATTTATATTTTGTATCAACACTTGGAATCTGTGAAGTAAATACTGAAGTCTAAGTAGGCCTATACAGCAGCACAAATAATAAGTGCCTTTTATCCTCAGGTAAAGCTAAAGACATCGCATAGTCAGAGCCTTAATGCATTATATTTATTGAATTGTATTTTCTTTGTCCTGCACTTCCATATGTCTCTTTGTCTGTGAAAAGCCCACTCATTATAAGGCATTATTGTTGAAACCTTGACATTCAGGAATCAGCACGGAGCAGATAAACAAAAACCAAACACTCCCCTTAACAACGTGATAAACGTGTTAACATGAGAACAAATGCTGACCTGTGCCAAAGGGAGCGGCAGGCGTTCATGGTGTGACTCACCCTGTGTGTGTGTGTGTGTGTGTGTGTGTGTGTGTGTGTGTGTGTGTGTGTGTGTGTGTGTGTGTGTGTGTGTGTGTGTGTGTGTGTGTGTGTGTGTACGGAGAGAAAAGAGATTTCAGTGGCGTTCACACACTCGTTATGTAACTCTACCTGGCTCTGATGTTTGATGAGATTAACTCCACTCAGGCTAACCTGGTGAACATGAAACAGGTGTGACGGCTATTTTTAATACAAAATAAACGGATTTATTAAAAGGTACAGCAATTATAAACAACATGGGTGTCAAAACCAGAAAGAGCAAAACCAACAACAACAAGATAAATGTTTTCCAAATGATTTATAGAGGCTTACATAGACAAGTTAAGATAAGGGCTGCCATATTCAATACAGCCATACATTGATTGACATAAATCTAACTGGTTTAGGCCCAAAATACATTTCTGACCTCCTGCTAAATTATGAACCATCCAGATCTCTCAGGTCTTCAGGGACTGGTCAGCTTTCTGTCCCCAGTCAGAACTAAACATGGAGAAGCAGCGTTCAATTATTATGCTCCAAATATCTGGAACAAACTCCCAGAAACCTGCAGGTCCGCTGCAACTCTTAGGCCTACTACTTTTAAATCCAGGCTGAAGACTTTTCTTTTTTGCCGCTGCTTTTAATTGAACTATTCATATCTTAAACTGCACTGTAACTTTTTATTCATGTACTTTTTATTCATGTATTTTTTCTTTTAATGTTTATTTTATTATCTTTTCTTTTTAATGACTGATTTTAAATGCCTTTGTCTGAATGTCTTTCATTTTTGTAAAGCACCTTGAATTTCCTTGTGTTGAAAGGAGCTATATAAATAAACTTGCCTTGCCTTTTATCTAAGCAAATTAGCCTAATTTGATCCAAACGTGAAAAGACTGTAAAATACCAGCAACAGGTTGGCTCCTGACAACACACCAATGATACTTTCTTATCAACCCACAAATGCATGTGCTCCAAAACAGCACAACTTGCATACTTATTGTTAACTGCAGGAGAAACTATGCCTACAGTATAATGCACATGCATGTTATGTCATGCAATGCATAAATAGTAAATGTACCCACATTATAAATGTCAAATACGGAGGTAAAAATATGCAACACTTTCATTTGACTGTCCTTACCTCAACCACCACATGTATCCATATTCGTAAGGGAAGAAGCTGTTGGGGTCATCGCAACAGTACTTCAAGTCACTGAACCCGCAGCAGAAAAGTGCCGTGGCATCACTGTCCGCTTTCGGACACGTGAAGCCCTCCATGAGCACATCTACCTCGGTGTAGTAACCTTCACAGTCCGAGCTCATATCCGAAACACACTGTCCGCACTCCGCACATGGACTGCCAGGTGCGGTGTGGCACACATTAAAGCCTGCTCTGCTGCTGCGCGTCTCCCATCGCTTCACCTCAACATCACGGAGTCCTGGAGCTGCACACACACAGGGTGCAGGCCTCTCTCTCTCTCTCTCTCTCTCTCTCTCTCTCTC